GTATCATGTAGTAGACGCATCAGTAGCAGCGATCAGTAGTCATGGCATCAGTAGCAGCATCAGTAGCATGATCAGTAGCATGATCAGTAGCATGATCAGTAGTAGGATCAGTAGCAGGATCAGTAGTAGGATCAGTAGCAGGATCAGTAGTAGCATCAGTAGTAGCATCAGTAGTAGCATCAGTAGTAGCATGAGTAGTAGCATCAGTATCAGAAGTATCAGTAGTAGGATCAGTATCAGTAGTAGATTCAGTAGCATCAGTAGTAGGATCAGTAGTATCAGTAGGTGTATCAGCATCAGTAGTAGGATCAGTAGCATCAGTAGTAGTATCAGTAGTAGCATCAGTAGTAGGATCAGTAGGATCAGTAGTATCAGTATCAGTAATATGATCAGTAGGATCAGTAGTAGCATCAGTAGTATCAGTAGCATCAGCAGTAGCATCAGTAGTATGATCAGTAGTATGATCAGTAGTAGTATCAGTAGTAGTATCAGTAGTAGTATCAGTAGCAGCATCAATAGCAGCATTAGTAGTATCATCAGTAGTAGCATCAGTAGTAGCATCAGTAGCATCAGTTGTAGGATCAGTAGCATCAGTAGTAGGATCAGTAGCATCAGTAGTAGGATCAGTAGCATCAGTAGTAGTATCAGTAGCATCAGTAGTAGTATCAGTAGTACCATCAGTAGTAGCATCAGTAGTAGTATCAGTAGCATCAGTAGTAGTATCAGTAGGATCAGTATCAGAAGTATCAGTAGTAGGATCAGTATCAGTAGTAGATTCAGTAGCATCAGTAGTAGGATCAGTAGGATCAGTAGTATCAGTAGTATTATTAGGATCAGTAGCATCAGTAGCATCAGTAGTAGTAGCATCAGTAGTACTATCAGTAGTATCAGTAGTATCAGTAGTAGGATCAGTAGTATCAGTAGTAGGATCAGTAGTATCAGTATCAGTAGTAGGATCAGTAGTATCAGTATTATCAGTAGTAGCATCAGTAGTAGCATCAGTAGTAGCATCAGTTTTAGGATCAGTAACATCAGTTGTAGAATCAGTAGAATCAGTAGCATCAGTAGGATCAGTAGCATCAGTAGCATCAGTAGCATCAGTAGTAGGATCAGTAGCATCAGTAGTAGGATCAGTAGCATCAGTAGTAGGATCAGTAGTAGCATCAGTAGTATCAGTAGCATCAGTAGTATCAGTAGTATCAGTAGGAATGCATTATGTTCTTTGTTCTAAATCAGTTCAGGTCACATACAGTGAGGGAAAAAAAGTATTTGATCCCCTGCTGATTTTGTAAGTTTGCCCACTGACATGATCAGTCTATAATTTTAATGGTAGGTTTATTTAAACAGTGAGAGACAGAATAACAACAAAAAAATCCAGAAAAACGCATGTCAAAAATGTTATAAATTGATTTGCATTTTAATGAGAGAAATAAGTATTTGACCCCTCTGCAAAACATGACTTAGTACCTGGTGGCAAAACCCTTGTTGGCAATCACAGAGGTCAGACGTTCCTTGTAGTTGGCCACCAGGTTTGCACACATCTAAGGAGGGATTTTGTTCCACTCCTCTTTGAAGATCTTCTCCAAGTCATTAAGATTTCGAGGCTGACGTTTGGCAACTCAAACCTTCAGCTCCCTCCACAGATTTTCTATGGGATTAAGGTCTGGAGACTGGCTAGGCCAATCCAGGACCTTAATGTGCCTCTTCTTGAGCCACTCCTTTGTTGCCTTGGCCGTGTGTTTTGGGTCATTGTCATGCTGGAATACCCATCCATGACCCATTTTCAATGCCCTAGCTGAGGGAAGGAGGTTCTCACCCAAGATTTGACGGTACATGGCCCCGTCCATCGTCCCTTTGATGCGGTGAAGTTGTCCTGTCCCCTTAGCAGAAAAACACCCCCAAAGCATAATGTTTCCACCTCCATGTTTGACGGTGGGGATGGTGTTCTTGGGGTCATAGGCATCATTCCTCCTTCGCCAAACATGGCGAGTTGAGTTGATGCCAAAGAGCTCGATTTTGGTCTCATCTGACCACACTTTCACCAAGTTCTCCTCTGAATCATTCAGATGTTCATTGGCAAACTTCAGACGGGCCTGTATATGTGCTTTCTTGAGCAGGGGGACCTTGCAGGCGCTGCAGGATTTCAGTCCTTTACGGCGTAGTGTGTTACCAATTGTTTTCTTGGTTACTATGGTCGCAGCTGCCTTGAGATCATTGACAAGATCCTCCCGTGTAGTTCTGGGCTGATTCCTCACCGTTCTCATGATCATTGCAACTCCACGAGGTGAGATCTTGCATGGAGCCCCAGGCCGAGGGAGATTGAGTTATTTTGTGTTTCTTCCATTTGAGAATAATCACACCAACTGTTGTCACCTTCTCACCAAGCTGCTTGTGATGGTCTTGTAGCCCATTCCAGCCTTGTGTAGGTCTACAATCTTGTCCCTGACATCCTTGGAGAGCTCTTTGGTCTTGGCCATGGTGGAGAGTTTGGAATCTGATTGATTGATTGCTTCTGTGGACAGGTGTCTTTTATACAGGTAACAAGCTGAGATTAGGAGCACTCCCTTTAAGAGTGTGCTCCTAATCTCAGCTCGTTACCTGTATAAAACACATCTGGGAGCCAGATATCTTTCTGACTGATCATTTCTTTGTCAGTGGGCAAACGTACAAAATCAGCAGGGGATCAAATACTTTTTTCCCTCACTGTATGCTCCTAAATATTTTGCTGTGCGCCATGGAGTTTTGATTTGGTAGCACCGGTGCTCCTTTAAAAAATATTTGCCAATATAATCCACCAGATGGCTAAATTCTATTAGTGCTGTTGGGAGAAGGCAAAGTGAATATGTTTGTATCGGCTGTTATTACATTTGTTACATTTGAGCGGCTTGCATCTTGAGCAAAGTCGGTACATTATATAATTTCACCTCACCTGTGAGAGTGAACAGGAAATTGAGCAGCTCTTGGAAGACAGTGGATGTCTATAAAAGTGCTTTGTTTATTGGTAAAAACCAAAGCGTTTCTGCCCTTATAGAGCTCCACAGTGGAGGTGTCATAATACCCATAAAACCTAGCAGTCAAACAGAGAAATGGCTCCAATCGTTTTTCCACCATTCATTTTTCCCATAGGGGATTTTAGAAATACAAAAAAAAATGAGGGCTGTGTTTTGTGTAGGATTACCCGTTTTGATAACCATGTAAATCTCTCTCGGACAAGGTGACTTTTATCAATATATTAGTCTCTATTTACTCTCAGATTCAAAAATGCTAATTAGCATCAACTTAGACATCATGCAAGACTACAAGTCCCTGCAAGCTCCTGCATGACATCTCTAGTTGACACCTTTGCTAACAGGTATTGTGCCAATTTAAAACTTGCACAAGAAAGTTCATAGAATTGTCAATTTAAAGAGATTTAGCCAATTTATTAATTACTACATTTCGCTAACGTTAGATAGTTAATCCAGAGATTCTTACCTTCGCCTCTGATCGTCCAGATCAAAATCAAATCAAATCGAATGCGTCGACTAGGGTTGGAGTTAAAACCTACAGGAGGGTATCTCTCCAGGAACAGGGTTGGAGTTCAAACCTACAGGAGGGTATCTCTCTAGGAACAGGTTTGGAATTCAAACCTACAGGAGGGTATCTTTCCAGGAACCGGGTTGGAGTTAAAACCTACAGGAGGGTATCTGTCTAGGAACAGGGTTGGAGTTAAAACCTACAGGAGGGTATCTTTCTAGGAACAGGGTTGGAGTTAAAACCTACAGGAGGCTTCCACCTACCCTCCATCGTGATCCTGCATGACTCCAGAGCATTTAGATATACTGATACTGTACATTTGTACATAAACTGTATACCCACTGTGTAATGAGGTCATGTCATAGTGTTGTGTGACCCAGGGGAGAGTTGGTATATAAGTGGATTGGTGCCACAGAGTCTGCATTCCTTATGTCAAAGGAGATTACTGATGTTGATCTTAGTATGATTGATGGACAGGATATATGACTTGGGGGTAAAGAGTAATAACATCAAAGAAGGGAATGCCCATTGAGGGTTAGCAGATGTTCGTGAAGAAACTTGTAAACAGAGGGTATGTAAGGGAGAGTGGCTCTTTGTTCTGGAGTTGCAAGATGGCAGAGGCAGGGCCATGTCCTTCTTCTGTTATAACCAACCATGGTACCATATTAAATATCTTAGATGAACTCCCCATCAAAAGTGTCTAAGTATATCATTACATTCATAAGTACTTGATACCCTAGAAACTCTTCATAACACACTGTATATCTGTATACCTACTGTATATCTGTATATCTGTATATCACTGCATATCTGTATATCACTATATATATGTAAATCACTGTATATCTGTATACCCACTGTATATCTGTATATCACTGTATATCTGTATACCCACTGTATATCTGTATACCCACTGTATATCTGTATATCACTGTATACCTGTATACCCACTGTATATCTG